TCCGTTGTAGCAAAATATACTCCTTCCGGTTCTGAAAGATCTTTGCACTATCCATTTTCGGCAGTACCAGAAAGATCTTTACACTTCTTATTTGTCTTACAAATCTACACAAAACAGTGTCAAACAGTGCCAAACAGTGTTAAACAGTGCCAAACAGTGTCAAACTCCTTAATATTTGTGATGTCAAACTGTAAAGATCTTTCAGAACCGGAGGGAGTAATAATAATGATCTCTTAAAGTCATACCATCATCATTGTGAATGTTCTAGTGATGTAAATTTGTAGCAATACCGAGTTGAATATTTTGAACATATACTAACAGATCCCAAAGTGGATAAAATTATGATGCATCATTTGATAATTAAGTACTACATCCGCCTCACTAACATTGGGACACGAGGATGTGACACGATTATTAAGAAAAGTAGTTTTGTGTGATTGATAAAGTAAGAATGATTTAAAACTACCTAAACTTTACCAAATTTGATAGACGACAATTTTAGCGGGGCAGACCGAAAAGAAAAGATGAGACAATCTTAGCGGGACAGAGAGAGTAATTGGCACGTCAAATTTTGGTATACTAAGTTTCAAGCATGACATTGATACATACTATGTTGTTGGTGCAGGAATTTGACAATATGGAAAGCTTGACCGGGGCAGTTAATGACGTATTTATTAGAATTAATGCTAGATGATTAATTCTAGCGGTTTCATGTATATTATGAGAGTTATTGTTGTAATTATGGCGTAGGTTACTCAAATGGCTGACCAGAATTTATGACGACATAATGACGATTTTGATGTCGTCGTAACGGTCGAAACCGTCAACAACGGACAAAAAGGCATTAAATATCTCTCTTATAAATAGAACCAAGCTTTATGTAATCAGGGGGGCCTTCATTCGAATTACAGATCAATATACCTTCTATTTTGCTTACTTGACACCCTTCTTGTTGTTCTTGTCATTTTCCTTACCGTTCTTGTACGAAACCCAATCAATATATAATTTCTATTCTAATTAGTTTTAGTTTATCATAATTTGGCTAAAACAATTTGGCGCCGTCTGTGGGAAATCGTGCAAGAAATTTATTCTCCATGGAAGGAACGAGCAATGAGATGATGGCCGAGTTTCATAGGCAATTGGAGGCGATGAAGGAAGAAATCCGGTGTGAAATGGCTCAGCGGATTGCTTTTTTGACACGAGAAAATGACGTGTTGTGCTCTCAAGTGCAATCGGTAGCGTCCATAGCTTCCAACTCAAGATTTAGCCGAAGAGGTGACGCCATGACAGCAGCAACGAGGCTGGAATTTGACCCCATTCCAGTCTCGACCGAACCTTTTATCCGTCATTCAGGAGCCGGCGCATCTGGAGATCCGGGGCCCTCAAACCGATCTGTTCCTCTCCAGAATCCCAGCAGGAACGTGTTTCTTAGTCTATTTCCGGAACCTCAGAGACGACGAGTTCCAGACCGTGTCGACATCCCCCAACACGACGACATCCCTCTACATGTCGAGCCTGAAGCCATCGCCATATCCTCACCAACCAGACATGATGTGACCCGGGTGACGACGCCACCAATCTCGACGACAAGACAAATGCAAGCATGCCCGACAGACCCCTTATCTGTCATCATGGAAGGGCTGAGGGAAATGCGAGAGAAGATCAATGGTATCCCCGGAGTGCCACCTCCATTGGATGTCGCTTCACAGACATGCTATGCAGATTCCCCTTTCGGACTACACATCACAGACGTTGAGATTCCAAGGAAGTTTGTTGCCCCCTCGATGAGATTATTCGATGGAACTACCCACCCCCTAGAACACGTCGCTCAATATAAGCAGTAGATGCTTGCCACCTCGGTCAGACCAGAGCAGCGGGAGGCTTGTATGTGCAGGGCATTTGGGACAACATTGACAGGGTCAGCGCTGACGTGGTTCGTCAATCTGCCGAATGAAGGCGTCAGCTCATTTGCGGAGTTAGTCAATCTCTTCAACCAGCAATTTGCAAGCAGTCGGGTTCTAGAGAAGCAGACCAGCGATCTCTACCGTGTGGTCCAGAAACGCAACGAATCCTTAAGGGATTACCTCCACCGCTTCAACAAAGAGAAGGTGTCAATCGCCCGATGTGACATACCAACAGTCATCGAGGCATTCAGAAGAGGTTTGTATGAAGATTCAGAGTTATACCACGAATTGACGAAATACCCTTGTCGGTCCTTCGAAGATGTCCAAGCAAATACGTTAGCTTTCATTCGTCTAGAAGAAGACTTACGATCTCGTCGAAGACAAATTGAGTACGAACAGGGGCATGGGAAATCAGAATCTCCCAGGAGGCATGATTACAAACATGGAAACCCATATTCGAGACATGAGGAACAAGTCGTCACGAGATAGACCGGACAACATGATCGGAGTCGTCAGACGGGGGGCATGTCGTCCGATTCTAGACGGGCTCTGAAAAGCTGCAATACGATCAGACAACATGATCGAAACCGTCGGACGGGGGGCATGTCGTCCAAAGACAGACATGTTCTGAAGGGGGCATATGGTACCCTTAAAGTCGTTTCATTTTTAGATTGGTATTTTCTTTTACATATTGTTGTCACTCCTGTGACGGGATAAACCAGACGACGTGACTGAAATCGTCTGAGACGGGGGCATGTCGTCCAATGATAAACCTGACGACATGATTGAAATCGTCTGACTTCAGACAAGTCCTGATGATAAGTACTTGTCTAGTTTTGTATACATGCTTTTAATTTATTACTTTTGTTTACATATAAATATTCACTAACTTAAGCATCGGAGGGCCGTTGGCCAAAAGCCAACGGCCAGACTTTGACGACATGATTTCGTGCAGGATATCGACGCAATAAGCACTTTGGCAACGATTACTACAAACTCTGAACGTGCCAACAGAAGGTACTCACATATATCCCCTACAACCTAAGAAGGGGTAGTAAGGTTAGCATTGGCCATTCATATTTGAAGTATGAAAAACAAACCCATGCGCCTTACACGTTTTGGCCAAAACGACAAAAGCACAAAACTACAGAAATACACAACAGAAGCATGTGCTCCAAAAGCATGATAACAGAAGCTCCAAAACATAAGGAGACAATACAGATGACATTGACATAAATTACAAACACTCATGTCGACAATATTGCTAAAAATACAAATGAAACATTATTCATAGTTTTCGCAGGATATGGACCACGTTCACGCAACCCAACTCGTCTTCTTCAACAACAAATGATGTTCCCTTTTTCAGCTGAAGTGTCGACATTTACATGAAAGATGTTGCGAACTTCTGCCACCTAGTCGTCAGCACAATTTCGGAGGAGGAGAAGACGAAGTGCCAGCCTTCAGTCTTCATGGTTTTAGTCAATAAGACGGATTCCATAGGAAGTCACTCGAAAGAAAGATGGCAACTTTTCGTTAGATGAGTTGATCGATACGTCTCATCAAGTCAATGATGGGCCAATAGATGCAATGAATCAAGATGTGAAGTGTACTTTTGAATTTTTGACAAATTGATGCTTAACAGGTCGACATGTCCATGCCACGCCTCAACTTCTCGAAAGGGGGTAATTGTTGGTGCAGGAATTTGACAATATGGAAAGCTTGACCGGGGCAATTAATGACGTATTTATTAGAATTAATGCTATATGATTAATTCTAGCGGTTTCATGTATATTATGAAAGTTATTGTTGTAATTATGGCGTAGGTTACTCAAATGGCTGACCAGAATTTATGATGACATAATGACGATTTTGATGTCGTCGTAACGGTCGAAACCGTCAACAACGGACAAAAAGGCATTAAATATCTCTCTTATAAATAGAACCAAGCTTTATGTAATCAGGGGGGCCTTCATTCGAATTACAGATCAATATACCTTCTATTTTGCTTACTTGACACCCTTCTTGTTATTCTTGTCATTTTCCTATATGACCATTCTATTAGTTCTTGGTGATATTCTATTGAAAATACAAAAGTTGCCTCTAGTATACTAAAAATGGAGAATTGATTTCTTTCTTCTAAATTGGAAAACGAGTAATGCTTTTTCGAAATTTGATCGATATAATGGAATCAGTATACATGTTTTTGTGTTTTCATCTTTCAAGTTTTAGAAAAATAGAACACTTTATTTTTTATTTAGTAAACACTTCCCTTAATTTTGGGTCAAACATGAAAATGAAAGTACATCAAGTAAGCAGAACAACTGAACAAGTGAGATTGAATATTACCAAAATGATATTTGTACACACTGTTATACACACTTTTGTACACACATATGTCTGTGAAATGTGTACATCAAGTAAGCAGAACAACTGAACAAGTGAGATGAATATTACCAAAATGATATTTGTACACACTCTTATTCACAGACAATGTTTTGCACAAACAAAATATTGTCTAGCTTCACAAACATGATGTGTATAAGATGTGTACAAGGGTGTTTACATCAAGCATGATTGTGAATATTCAGAGTGAGCACAAACGAAATGGAATTACACACATGCACGGCGTAGTTATTCTCGGGGATGGCTGCTATCTTTCTAAACAGGAGGAGAAAATAACTCAGATCGGTTCCGAAGCGAGATTGAAGGAGCGGCTTATTAGCTCTCGGGAGTATTTTATTCACTCCTTTCGAGTCGTCCGAACCGGTGTTTGGACGAAATAACGACTTACGGGTGCTCTCAGGACAAGAAGCTCGGGAATCCCGCGGCGGCAACCGTAGTTAGGGGAGCCTAGACCTACCCAAATTTTGAAAAAACTTTGACCTTATGGGTAAAAATATTGCACAAAAGTTTATATGTGTCGGACTATGGTGATATGTGCTCCTACTGTGCCACACAATATACATACATACACATATAAATTAAACTACATGTTATATATATTTAACAAATATATTCAGGTCATAAGTATAGGAATAATAATAGTCGTATTATATTAGGACTTTTCTCTTACCCTATTTTCTCTTACTATATCAGGTCAATAATTTTTTTTCCGCTTACCCTATTTTCTCTTACTCGAGCGTCACCTCATGGCCTCTGAGTCCTCCGCAGCAGCCTCTTCCATGATGGCGCCGTTCTCCAGCAACTCGCCACCGGTGACCGAACAGTCGGTGATTTCTTCCTTCATCTCTGACGCAACAGGTTCCCCTGTTCTGCGGTCGCCGACATCCACGCTGTTCTCCACTTTCCCACCACCGCCAGTCTTCTCTATGACGGAACCCTATGCTCTTTTTCAGCAGCAGCCACCTCGGCTTCTGTGGCAGGCGCCTCCCCAGACATCGTCGACAAACATAACCCCATCACAACCGCCTACTTCCCCGTTCTATGGTGCAACCTTCTCTTGCTCAATTCGTCTCTCACATCACCACAATCTCTCAGACCGTGACAATCAAACTCAAGGCGGTTGAAAACTATCTCACTTGGCACACCCAATTTGAATCATTCTTGGTCTCTCAGGGTCTCTTCGGCACGGTTGATGGTTCTATTCAGGTGCCCCTATGTACACGGTTGATGTTATTAATCGTCAAATTCCAAATCCAGAGTAATATTATTGACTGAGAGTAGATCAAACAATTCAGTGCTAGTTGTTTGCTACTCTCACTCGTGATGTATTGGTTGATGTTCATGATTTAAAGCACTCCTTTGCAATTTGGAACCGGCTGCAAACACGATTTATGTCTGCTAGTTTACCGCGGTGTATGGAACTCAATCGTTTACTGTCTAATATGAAAAAGAAAGAAGATCAGTCCATGGAACACTATCTGAGAGATGTCAAGAATTTGGTGGATGCCTTGGCTGCCATTAATTCTCCTGTGTCGGAAAAAGAATTACTCCAGTCTATTCTTAAAGGTCTGGGTCGTGACTATAAATCACTTGTCACGACTGTCTCTCTTTTTCCCGACAGCTTTTCGTTTGATATTCTCCATCCCCGCCTCTTGGAAGAAGAACAAAAGGTCCTCTAACAACGTCAATAGGAGGAAGCTACTGGACACCCGACCTTTCTTGCTGCCCCTACCGGTCAGCCCTCTCCAGCACCATCTTACCGTGGCAGAGGCGGCCGTGGGCGGGAAAACCATGGCAGGAGGGCCGTGGGCGTGGCCGCGGACAACAACCGCATTATCACACTGGCCAGGCCACCTACGGCCAGCAGCAGCTTCTGGCGAGTCAGCAGTACCATCAGCCCCGTCAACTGGGACAGCCAGGTCAATTGGGTCCTCCTTACGGTCAACCTACTGTTTTGCCACAGGGGGTGCATTCCCACACTTCAGGTTCTGCATATAATTCTGTTGTGTCAACCTTAAATATTAATCCCTCTTTTATGGTTGATACTCACTCTAGCTATGCAGGCTTCCCGTCATCTGAGGGTATTCTTGGGTCTGTTCCACCTCCTATTGTTTGCAAACTTTGTTTCAATACAGGTCATTCTGCTCGTCAATGTCCATCTCGTTTTAGTCAGACGTCTGCACCCGCACTTCTGGCCTCTAACAGTGACTCTAATGTTGTTTTATGGTACCCTGACTCTGGAGCTTCCGCTCACATGACACCTTCCGAAGGTACTTTAGTTAATAAATTACCTTATATAGGACCACTTTCGGTTAGTATTGCTAATGGAACTCAACTCCTATTATTACTATTGGTGATGTTCATTTAAAGTCATCTAGCCGTCCTCTTGTTCTTAAATCTGTTTTTCATGTGCCTCATATTAAGTTTAATTTATTATCCATAAATAAGTTATGTGCTGATAACAACTGTGTGGTAATTTTTGATAAAACTTCTTTTTGTGTTAAGGACAAACTTTCGGGAGCGATCCTTCTTCAAGCACCTAGTTCTGGTCATCTTTATCCAGTTCGCCTCAGTTCACCACCACCACTTGCTTTGTCATCTATTACATTCTCTGGCCCTATTTGGTATCGTAGATTAGGCCATTGTGGCACTTCTATTTTACGTCGGTTACATAAGCAAAATCATATTTGTAGTAGTTCTAGTTTTTCTCATGATTGTATTTCTTGCCGTTTAGGCAAATCTCAACGTTTACCCTTTCAAGATGCTAGTCATATTACATCAATGCCTTTGCAATTAATTCATTCAGATGTATGGCAATCACCTATTTTGTCAAATCTTGGTTTTAAATATTATGTCTGCTTTATTGATGATTTTTCACGCTTTACTTGGCTTTATCCCATGCGCAACAAGTCTAAAGTTTTCACCAATTTTCAAAAATTTAAGGCATTAGTTGAAAACCTTTTTGCACTAAAATTAAAGTTTTTCAAAGTGATGGAGGGGTGAATTTGTTAATTTTAATACGCAGCATTTTTTTATATTCATGGAATTCATTTTCACAAATCGTGTCCAGACACACCCCAACAAAATGGGGTGGCTGAGCGTAAACATAAACACCTATTAGAACTAACTAGAACTATGCTTCTTGAAGCCTCTATTCCTAGCCATTTTGGGTTGATGCTCTTTTAACTGTTGCATATACTATTAATCGTTTGCCTTCTCCCTTACTTGGAAACTTATCTCCTTATGAAAAACTTTTTCAAAAATCTCCTGACTATTCTTTTTTGTGAGTTTTTGGATGCTCTTGTTTTCCTATTATCTCGGCCTCATCTGCTAATAAGTTGTCTGCTCAGTCTATTCACTATATTTTTATTGGCTATGCATCTGGCTATAAAGGGTATCGTTGTCTTGAACCCAAGTCTGGCAAAATTTACATCAGTCGTCATGTTAGGTTCCTTGAGAATAACTTTCCCTTTCCATTCCTTGTTTCTTCTTTACCTGAGTCAAACCCCACTCCTCCATCGGATTTCCTCCTAACTAATACCCTTCGACAACCTACCCTACTGCCAGAGTCTACTACGGCAGCCCCAACATCCATACCTACTTCCATAACCTCCCCATCCCAACCTGCTACTGTCTTTGACTTTGTCAGTGACCAACATTCAACCCCTGCGACACTCTCCCAGCCCAACAGCCCACATTCCACCCAAACCACCCCACTGAACCACTTACCGTCTCCCAGCACGTCAGCTACCACCTCCTCTATGTCTCAGCCTTCTTCATCCACCATATTGCCGAGCCCTCCCAGTCCACCTAGTTCTCGAAATAATGTCCATCCCATGCAAATTCAGGCTAGGTCAGGAATTTATAAACCAAAAACGATTTTTACATTAAGCACAGTTGTTAACTCAGCAGATCCAACTTGTTTTTCTGAGGCAACCAAATCTTTTATTTGACGTGAGGCGATGCCCGATGAATTTAATGCACTCATTAATAATAATACATGGAACCTAGTTCCGTTTGACAATACTAAAAATGTGGTTGGGTCTAAGTGGATTTACAAAACTAAGTTTCACTATGATGGGTCTATTGAGCGCCATAAAGCCCGTTTAGTCACTCAAGGATTTAACCAGCAGGCTGGTGTGGACTTTTCTGAGACCTTTAGTCCTGTTGTTAAACCCACCACAGTTCATATTGTTCTTACTCTTGCTATTTCTTTTGGGTGGGTTATACGTCAATTGGATGTTAAAAATGCCTTTTTACATGGTCATCTCACTGAAGAGGTTTATATGCGTCAGCCACGGAGCTTTGTTCATCCTCATTTTCCACACCATATTTGTCGTCTGCGCAAGGCCATTTATGGTCTGAAGCAGGCTCCGTGTGCTTGGTTTCATCGTTTTAGTAGTTTTCTCCTTACTCATAATTTTGTATGTAGTAAGTCAGATAATTCCTTGTTTATTTGTCGTCAGGGACACTCCATTATTTATTTATTGTTGTATGTGGATGATATTATTATTACTGGTAACTCACCCTCTCTGATTTCTTCCTTTATTAATAGCATAGCTTCTCACTTTGCTATGAAAGATCTGGGTGATCTCCATTTTTTCTTGGGCGTACAGGCAATAAGAAATTCTAAGGGTCTTTTTCTTAGTCAGCAAAAATATGTGTCTGATTCGCTTCTTCATTTCCATCTTCACACACTTAAGCCTGTTCGCACACCTCTTGCTACACGCACCTCCCTCTCCCTCACTGATGGTGAACTCCTGTCTGATGCTACTGAGTATCGAAGTATGGTAGGTGCATTACAATGTTTAACTTTGACACGACCTGATATTACTTATGCAGTTCATTTAGTGTCTCAATTTATGCATGCCCCTCGTACTACTCATATGTTTGCGGTCAAGCGCATTTTTAGATATTTACAGGGAACTCTGGATCATGGCCTCTGGCTTCAGACTTCCGCGCGTCCAGTGTGTATTTTAGCCTATTCTGATGCTGATTGGGCAGGTTGCCCAGATAGCTCTCGCTCTACTACTGGTTTTGCTGTCTTCTTGGGTCCTAATCTTGTATCTTGGAAGTCCAAGAAGCAGCTTACAGTCTCCAAATCATATACAGAGGCAGAATATCGAGCCATTGCTTACACTGTACAAGACACTTTGCATATCCGATCCATTCTTTTTGTGCTCAGCTTCCCTATACGTGACCCAGTTCAGTTGTTGTGTGATAATATCTCTGTTTCGTATCTTACTGCTAATCCAGTCCAGCATGCTCGAAGCAAGCATATTCAGATTGACTACCATTTTGTTCGGAAAAGAGTGGCGCATGGTGATTTAGTTGTTAAATATATTCCCACGCATCTTGAGCTTGCTGATATATTTACAAAAAGTTTATCTAGTCAGCAATTTCATTTTTTAAAAGACAACCCGCACGTTGTATCTCCCGCACATCTTGAGGGGATGTAATAGTCATATTATATTAGGACTTCTTCTGTATTTAGAACACTATTGTTTTATTATAAATACACCTGTCAGGGCTCCTATTGGAGCACGACTTTCCATTATTCTCACAAATAACTCGTCATGTTTGAAAAAAACCGTTTGATTCGGGCTGTCAACTATTTTTCAAAAAGTTAAGTGTAGTTAGTAATATGTAGTGATAAATTCTCAAATTAATTAAATAATTATTAGGAGTAATAACATCATAATATATTAAAAAATTCAAAACAAAATTTTGACCAAAGTTTTTTGGAAAATAGTTTGCATGTTTGTGTTTACCCGAAATTAAGTGTCTTGGTCGATGACTATAAGGAATTAACCAAAGTGAAGATTGAAGAGCAGCATCTGTACTAATTAAAAAAAGATGAAAAAATGGCATAGATATTACTCCACCACTTTTATTGGACAAAAATATATCCTTTTTTAAATGGACAGAAAAGTTACACATCCGTTTCTCTCTCCCGTCCAAACACTCTTCCGTCAAAATAGATCCCCTTCTCTCTCCGAGCATTTGCGATCCATTCTCGCATCTGCGATCCATTCTCGCATCTGCAAGTTTCGCGTCCATTCTCTCATCTGCGAGCTTCATCCTCGTCACCATCATCGTTGTAAGCAAGAGCCAATTCGCCGGAGCCTCCCAGTCACGTCGAACTCGAGAGCCTCCCTCATTGCATTGACCGTCGTAGCCTCACGCCTTGCTCCGTTGCATGTGCCTCAGCTCGCACCGTAGCTGTCACGTATTGCAATGGACAAGGCTGTTTTGTCAATCACTGTGTCTGATGGCTACCTACGAGTTGATTGACACTTAGGGTTCGAGGGGACGACTTTGTGTTGCGGAGGCGCAATTGGGGGCGTCGATGTACTGCGGAGGCTCAATTGGGAGGGGGGTGCTGCAGAAATGCAATTGGTGGCGGCATTGGGTTGAGGAGTGCTGACAGGGGATGGGAGAGTGGGTGAGTGCAGGGGCCAAGAGCAGGGGGATTGAGGTAGGGTCTGTGGATGTGGTTGTGTGCGGCAACTACGAGGCGGGTTGTGGTGGTGGGATGTCGCAGTTGCAGGAGCTTGGGCAGGTTGTGGCGGTGGGATGAGGCTGTTGTAGGGGGTTGCGTCTGGGGCAGGGAAGGACATGGCATGGTTTTGGGGAAGCTCTGGTGGGAGCTGGATAGGGGCTGGAGGTTGGGGCTAAGGGCGACTGACTGGTGGTGGTGACTGACGGTGACGACCCTCAGCGGCCGGGTCAATGCGATGGTGGCAGGGGAATGGGGATTGGTTGGCTGTGGTGTTGGTCAATGGGCGGTGGCAGTGACTGGGGAGTCAAGCTGGGGGTGGGGGTTGGCGGCGATGGTAGCGCGGTGATGTTCAGCGGTGGTGGTCCAAGGTGATGGTCGGCGGGGGCGATAGGGCGGGGTAGGCTGGTGACGGGGCTGTGAGGAGGCGGGGAAGAATGGAGAGGCGGCGGGTCATAGTGACCGGAGTCGGCGTGTCACTGTGGCAGTGTCACCGGTGGTGGCCGTGTCACTACGGTGGCGTCACCAGTGATGGTCGTGTCACTATAATGGCGTCACCGGTATCGGTGTCACTGGTCGGTAAGATGTTGTCATTGTAAATGTCACTGTAGAACCGCACTGTACATGTCACTGTAAATGTCACTGTAAATGTCTTACCGGTGTTACTGCAACTGTCACTGTAGCACCGCACTGTAGCACCGTCACTGTAGTAACGTCACTGTAGCAACGTTACTGTAGCACCGTTAGTTTAGTCACTTTTTTGGAAAATTAAATAAAAGGCCACTTTTTTGTCAATCATCCACTTATTGGTAATATTAAGGTCAAAACCCCAAAAAATATTATTCGTTAGAACTTAGAAGTGTACAATATATTTTTAAATTTAAATGGATGAATAAGTCAAAGTACTTAGAACTCCATTGTCTCCAAAGAGGTCTGCTCCTAGTTTCATCTAGGGTTTTGTGTTCGGCCAGCGGCCTTCGCCGTCTGTTGCTAGGGTGGTTAGGGAGAATGGGGAATAGCAATTGGAGGTCACCGACAGCTCTGCCGTTTTCAATTGATAGTCTCATCTGTGTTTGGGGGGCTCGAATCCCAAAGAGAGATGGGCGAGAAGGTTAATCGGCCCGTCGATTGCAGCGGGGCAGGAGGCTGGAAGGCCGGACGTCGAGGCGGAAAGTTTCTGATCCAGATCGCTCATGCTTTGGTCCCCATTAGCGAAAGCATGGATCGGCTACATGCTAAGGCAGAGGTATGTTGTGTATTGGATTGTTTGTTGTTGTTTTGCTTTCTAGGTGTAGCAAGAGAAGGTGCGTATGTCTTGCACCGGGCTCCGAATCGTGAATCCGGAAGCATTGCAAAGCAGCAAGGAATGATTCGTGTGGCAAAGCAAAAGTGTTGTGTGAAGGAGGTGAAGATTGTTGAAGGGTACATGATGCTGGAGCTCGAATCTGATGCCGAAAAAAAAGGGATTGGGGCGAGCGTTGGGTGACAGGCTCGCCCGGAATCATGAAGCTGCATTGCGCGTTTTGGCATATTTATTTTTTCTAGTTTTCTTCTCATGGTCAAACAATGTCGTTTTCTTTTTTCTGTTATGAATTTAATCTTCATAGTCGTGATTCTAGGGTTTACTTTTCCATTGGTTATTTTTATTGTTGTAAGACTCTTGCATTAGGATCGATGAGGGATCTTTCCTTACCGTGTTAGGCTCATTTAGACCCATTACAAGATCAGCGAGTCATATTGTTTTTATAGGGTGATTGATTCTAGGTCTGGTTCGAGAGTTGGCGGGTGGAAGTGGGCCTTTTATATTCTTGTTCCCTTTCTCAATGCTTTCTTATTAATATAAGTCATCTGCTTCCAAAAAAAGTCAAAGTACTTGTTTTTCAAACTTCAAAGACCGAGTACGACCCTAACATTTTGAAGACTCGTCCAGCCCAACCCTGCCCTGTTCCATTTGATTTATCTAAAAACCAGACCCGGCCCTAACCAGTTGTACGGTATAAAATAGAGAGAATTCTCTAAATAGGATTAAAAAAGTTTTGAAATTACAAAATAGGACTATCATGTTTTTTATTCCTTGAATATGAGTAAATTTTTGCCAATTTTGTCATTAGTAGGCTTTAAAACATGACATTTTTTTCAAACTTGGCAGATTACTCCTATTCAAGAAATAAAAAACCATGATACTCTTATTTTATAATTTCAAAGTGTTTTTACTCCTATTTAAGACAATTTCTGTATAAAATAAAGTTTGATTAGATGTTAGACGTTTATCTAGAATATTCTAGAATATAATAGGGAGTACTACTACCGCATTGGTTTGTATCAACTCGACTTGGTGGGGTCAGCCGGTAAGGTGCATGGGCGGATCTACTAAGGTTGGAGGGGGGCAGCTGCTCCCAATAAAGGCCCACTAAACCCTCCTAATTTTATAAAAAATATTAAAAGCCCAATAGTTTGCCCCCAATAACCCAAAATCCTCCAGCCTGCCCCACGGATTACAGAAGAAGTGAACGACGAAAAAAAAACCTTCCCCCGTTCGGCCATTCCCCGACGCTTCTTCGCGCAGAAAGCCAGAAAAGCAAGTGTCGCAGCCCGCAGCGGCGTAGCCGCAGAAAGCTCTCTCGCGCACTGCTCCGATGGTCCGACCTCCGTGCTCCAATGCTCCGTGCTCCACTATATTTGGTCCGAGTCGGGTTTTTTGTAGTCTGGGTTCGGTCCGGGTTCGGGTCAGGCCGCTAAAGCCCGAATGTGAAATCACTCATATTTTTTATACTTTAAACTCTACTTTCAAATAAAATTAATAAAAAGTACAAACCGCAAATAAAAATAATAAAAAACACAAGTATTAGTCTCCAAAATCACCAATAACTCAAATCCAAAGAAGACAATGATCATAATATTTTGTTAAGATGCATAAAAATAAATAATATAGGTGTTCTAAAAATGTTATGAAATAAAATTTATGGATAAAAATGTAACTAAAGTTACTATGAATATGTTTTCATGGTCATTACGGTAAATAAATTGAACATATTTGTAGTCACTAAAAGTTATTAAGTCATTTTTCGTCCATCATGATTATAATCATATATTAGGAATTAATTTATAAATTATATTGGTATATTATATTGATTTTATATTAAAGCTAATTGTTTTGGGTTTTTATCGGTCCGGGTCGGGTTATAGATTTTAGAGCCCGTTATTGATCCCGAAATTTCGGGTTCGGTCCGGGTTTTTTTATTCGGGCTGGTCTAAAAGAAAAAACCCGGACCGATATCATAATTCGGGTCGGGCCATGGCCGGTTTCTGGGTTTTGGTTCGGTTTTTCCCATCCCTATCGGAAATGAGCATTTCAAATATTGAGTTGTTCACTCTTACAACAACAACAACATCCAAAGTCTTGATCTAAAAAGATTTTGGGGTCGGCTAACATGAAATGATCCCGCCAATTAAAAAGAGAAGACAAACAAGAAGAAAGAAAAAGAATAAAACGAATAAGATAAGATAAATAAATATAAGATAACAATAATATAATAAGGTAAGAAAAATAAAAGATCAAAAGGTAAAAAAAAACATAAAAAGCTAGAAGATAAAAATAACGTAAGAACATAAAAACACAAAGAAGATAAACGACAAAAGAAAACAGGAGGACAAAAAAAAAGAAAAAAGATCAATCGTCCACACAAATGTGCGCCCTCCACTTTGCCCTCTCCAAAGTCATACTCTCATATAACCCAAGAAGACACATATCAGTTCTGATTCCTCTAATCCAGGTCTGTTTGGGGTCTTTCCCTCCCTCTCCTCTCTGTCTCTTCTCCCCACCCCTAAGTCGCCTAACATGTGCATCAATCGGTCTTCTACGCACATGTCTAAATTAAACCACCGCAAGCGAGACTCCTGCATCTTAGCTTCTATAGGGTCTTTTCTAGCATGTCCACACATCCAAGGAGTAATATTAATGGATTTTTTCTTAAAATAACACTCTGTAATAGTAGTAAGTATATAATCATATACTCCATTCGTTCCCAAAAATTCTTCCCACTTTCCATTTTGGGTTGTTCCCAA